CCCCCTCGCACCCTCTCCCCCTCCCCCTGCCCCCTTGCCCCCCTCGCCCCCTCTCGCCCCTCCTCCCCCCTCGCCCCCTCGCCTCTTCACCCCCCCCCTTCGCCTCGAGGCGCGCGCCGGCGAGCGAGGCGGAAGGCCGAGGAATTGACGGGTGCTGTGCCCAGGCGTGCATCACTTCGTGGAGGGAGGCGCCCTGGCGCGGTCGGCCGAACGCCCGACCCGTAGATCCCAAGAGACGCTGCTGGGTGGACGAGTCGCGCCCAACAGCGTCCAGTAGCGCCAAACAGCCCCAGCAGCGCCAAGCGGTATTCAAATGGCGCCCAATAGCTCCCAATAGCGACCCATTGTAGGATATGCATTATGTTCGCTCTGAGCGCGATTGGGCGCGCTGTTGGGCGCGATGAGGACGACAAGCAATTTCCGTGAGTTGTCTCCTAAATGATTCCAGACAGCGCGATTTCTTCACAACGCGCACCCCCGCGGGTTTGGGTTATTTTTCTTGGGGGCACGCTTGTGTCGATCTTTGACGGCCCTTCGGGCCCAAAGGCGCAGAAAGAATGCGTCTCCTTCCGTCGTGATCTTGGCGCACCGCGAGGGTGCCAGAGCCTGGATGGCAAGGCTTCGGCTTGCGCGCAGACAGCCCCCCAGATGCCACAGATGGCCTCAACCGGCTCCCCGAGTGGCCACGACTGGCCTCAACAGACCCCCCGAGTAGCTCGGGGCGGTCTCAACGCACCAACCCGGGCGCGCAGAGCGCCCCCGGGGCGCCGCTGGAGGGCGGCCAGCTGGCACTAATGCTCGGGGGGCCTCGTGACAGAGGCGAGCCGGGACTGCCTGGGGGCCCTGCTAGTGCGCAGCCCGAGGCCTCACAACGCGAGGATGGCAGGGCCTCGACCCAGACCCTCCGACGTCATGGTTCATGGTCTTGTCAGGATGTCGACCCCCGGAGGTCCCGACCCACTTCCCAGGACCAGCTTTTCATCCTGAGTTGTTTCTTGATGGTCCCGGGGCCCAACGAAGGCCCTGGAGGCCAAAAGTAGTGAACAATAGAAGAAGACAGCGCTGCGTGAATTCAATTTGTCAGAGATCCGCGCGGATTTCTTGGAATGGCGTTGGGCCCCCCTGGCGGTTCCTCCAGTTCTGCCCCTGGCGCACTCCGCGCGCCAGGGAAGAGGGTGCCGCGCCGATCACAGCAATCCGCGCGAACCTCCAAAAGCTTATGTTATCGCAGTTCTTTGTCCTGTAAGAAACCTTGCCCGCCGTGATTTGCTCATAACCCGAGGGGTTTGGGGAGACCGCCCGCCAGGAGCCCGTCGGCGCCGGCGTGGGCGCGACGGCGCCGGCGAGCGGCGCAGCCGCCGCGGCCATCGACGCCGCGGGTGCGGACGCCATGGCCGAGGCGGAGAAGCGGCTGGAGGCGAGCGCCCGCGCTTCCCGGTTGGTCAGCCGCGCGCAGAGGAGGGTGGGGGGAGGGTGGAGGGCATCTTCAAAAGCACTACTGCTTCTTAGAAGGCGCAGGGCTTGTCTATGGATGTAAGGCGTAGGGCTGGCGCCTTCTAAGACGCAGCCTCCTTCTACGAAGCCTTCCCCCCTCCCCCATACCCTCTTTTGCGTGCCGCCACGTTGGACCTCAATGACATGGCGCCTTTTCTCGATTGAGGTCGACGAGCTCTGCTTTGGTCGGTGACCCGGGTCAGCAGAAGAACGGCCGATTGCGCCCCATGGCCGCCGCCCACAACAAGGTCCAGGTAGCGCCCCAAAGACGATGACGAGGAGCTGGCCGGCGTCGTCCATGACGCCAGCCCAGCTTGCCGCGCCACGGTGGAGCCCCTGTGGCTCTTTGGTTGGAGGTTGTGGTGTAACCCATTGGCCGTTGGCATCCTGGTTGGCCTTGGTTGGTCTGTAACAGCTGGCTTCCCATTGGCATTCTCGTGTCCTTTCGGTGCTCCTCGTTTGTCGAGGTGCCAGGCGATCAGCGAAAGTAAATCGCTGGGGGCGGCCGCCGGAAATTCGTATGTATTTTGTGTTTGGTGACGACTGCGATCTTGCCCGGGGTGGTATGGCTTGTTTCGTATGGTTAGAGTGACCTCCTCCCGCGCGGCACAAGGCTTCTTCCCCCTTCTCGTCTGGCTTCGTTCGCCCGCCGCCCTGCCATCTCCCTCTCTGTCTCACTCCGCTCTTCCTCTTCCCCTCGCCTCCCCCCTCTCCTCCTCCCCCCCCTGCGGCTCCTCGCTTTTCTGCCTGGGCCCCGCCTCGGGGCGGCCGATCCCGCGGCGAGATAGGAGTTCACGATTTGTCCACATTCGCATCCTACGCTCAGTATCGTTTAACCGATCCCTGTCCCCATTTCCATCACCATCCCGATTCCCACCATTCCACCGCCCCAGTTGGGGATATGCCCCTCGAAGCCCGAAGGGAACCGCCTATATTCCCATCTCGGAGGTACATCGTCCGGTGGGGCCCAAGCCACGCCAGTGGGGATAGGGATCGGTTAAACGATACTCGTACGCACCTCCAGGTGCATGACTTCTTGCCTGGGGAAGTCGGAGCCTGGTCAGGTTTCCTCTGCAGGCCGTCGGGGCGTCTCTGGTTAGATCGTAAGTCACGGGAGCTTCCGCTCGTCTTGGCTTGAACGCATGTCGGCCGTCGACGTAGTCCAATTCAAGACGAATCATGGGCGCTACTCGAAGACAATCGCGAAAAGCGCCAGGCAGCGCCAAATGCCGCCCCGCAGCGCCCAACAGTGCCCAGCAGCGCCATGTGAGAGAGATGTACTCTGATCGCTCTGAGCGTGATTGGGCGCGCGAGCGGGTGCCATGGGGACCGATCAGCAGCTTTCGTGAGCTGCTCTTGAACTCTGGAAGTCTCGCGGACACCCCGAGCCAGGGGACATCTCTTACCAGCCTGGAACATATCCCTATCCCTATGCTGGGCACCTCCTCATCACGATGCCAATCTTAGTGATTCCCCAATTTTTGAGGGCGAATCCCTAAGATTGTCATCGCCTTTTGCGGTTCAATCTTAGGGATAGGGATACGTTCGAGGCTGGTATTTCTCTGGCTGTGCCCGAGGGTGGCAGTGGCCGAGGGTGGCAGTGGCAGACAGCTAGTCTTCGGCATAGTCGGGCCTCCAGGGGCACACTCGGCACCACGGCTGGACTCGCCAAACTCCCAGGGGGGCTTGACAGCCTTTCTCCAATCGAATTGCGGGGATCTGGCCAGAGCGATGCCAGTCTTAGGCCTTCGCAGGTCGATGCGAACCCAGATAGGTCGCGGCAAGTCTCGAGATGCCCAGACAAATCTGCAGAACAAATCGTGGAAGTCGACGAGGGGCAGCAGAGGTCGTGAGGCTATAGCGACCGAGAAGTCCTCGCCCATCTCGAGCGACGGAAGAGAACGGGGTCGACTGCACGGACAGTCGCACGTAAGCTCGTTGCGTACAGCCCCGCGCAAGCGCCTTCGTTTCCAATGCAGCATGCCGCGTTGGCGGCCCGCGCAAGCCGCCGCGCAAGGTCGCTATGGCATCGTGCGTAAGACCGCCTTCTTCTCGTCGCCCACCTCAGCTGCGAAAAGTGGGGCTCCTCGACGGTTCAAGCAGACGAGTTCCTCGACGATCTGCTACACAATGGCTCTCGACTCGAGCGATCGTCGCCCACCTCCACTCCGGGGCCATCCCGCAGGAGCGCGAGGGCAGCGGTGCGGGGGCAGCCGCGCTCCGTCGCCTCGCGCGCCGCGGCCCTCTGGCTCGGGGAAGGGGCGCGTGGCGCGAGCCGCTCCCCTCCTGGGGGGCGGCCAAGAGGGTCAGGCGATCGCAAACATGGATCTCCTCCTCCTCCTCCTCCTCCTCCTCCTCCTCCTCCTCCTCCTCCTCCTCTCCTCCCTCGTTCCTCCTCCTCCTCCTCCCGGCGGAGGCGGGTCACGCGCAGAGGGTCCGAGGCGGGAATGTATCCATGTCCACCACCTGGAGGGGCAGTTTTCGGAGCCCCGGCAGGCGATGGATGTGGACATGTTCGGGCCCCCGGGTGCCGAAAGATCGCCCGCTGGGGCACCAGGAAGTCGGTTCCCAGGCGGTGGATATCGATTAATCCCCGCCTCGCAAAGGGGGCGTGGATTTATCGACGGGTCCCGTTGCCACGGGAAATCGCAGATTTCCGCCGCCGAGCGAGGCGGCGCCGGCCGCATTTTGGGGAGGGCCCCCCCCCCGATCCATGGATTTGGCGACCGCGCGCCAAATCCATGGATCGCTAATCCATGTTTGCGCGCCCCCGAGAGGGGTGGTGGTGGCGGTCACTGCATAAGGGAAACACGTCCCGAGCAGAGCAACACGCACCACGACCACGACGACGCCGACAACGACGACGCAGAAGACGAGGCGCGCAGACGATCTGCATCGATGCACGAATTGGGGAAAGTGCCCACCTTGCAGCTTCGGTTGGCCAAGAGGGGGGGGGGATGACTAGGGCGGGGAGGGGGGATCTCTCAGCATTATTTCTCGGAGCTCCCCGCGGGTTTCTCGGGTCGGCGCTGGGCCCCCCTGTCGGCGCCTCCGGCGCCGCCCTTGGCGCGCCCCGCGCGCCAGGGAGGGGGGGGGGTCAGCGCCGATCCAAGACAACCGCGCGGACCCTCGAGGAATGGCACCCTCTTCTTGTCTCGACGCGTCCCTTGGCCCCCCGCCCCTGGGCCGCGCTGCCCACACGCCGCGGGGCACGATCTGTGAAGCCCCGTCTTGGACGCCCCCCTCTCGGACGCCCCCGATCTCAAGGGGAGGGACTCGCAGCGCGAGAGAGCCCGAGGTGATCTCGCGCCTCGCGCGAGGCGGTGCGCCACGGCCGGTGGCCCAGAGCTTGCGCTCCTCGGATGCTCGATCACGGACCGCCAAAGACTGCCCGAGGCCGAGAATGGGCAACGGGCGTCCAAGATCGAATGCACCGCTGAGTGCGCCGCGCCTCCCTCCTCCGCCCTCCGCGCTCCGCCCTCCTCTCCCCTCCTTCGCCCCCCGCCAGCCGCCGCCACCGTGGCTCCCTCAGCCCCGCGGCGCGCTCGTGCGTGGCCCGCAGCCGGGTGCAGATGCCCCGGCGCTGCACGTGCCTGGTCGGCGCTGTTGCCCTTGATGCGCGCCGCTGTGCGCAAGCGCGCGCATAAGTTGGCGGACTGGGTCTAGAAGGACAGAAACGGCACAAGCAGAATCTCTCGGAGGTCCACGCGGATTTCTCGCATCGGCGCTGGGCCCTCCCTGGCGGCTCCTCCAGCGCCACCCCTTGCGCGCTCCGCGCGCCAGGGAGGCGGACCCAGCGCAGATCCGAGAAAACCGCGCGGAACTCCGAGAATTTAGTTGTATGCCCATGTTTGTTCCTCTATTGATCGCCAGCCAGTCGAGATCAATGGTCAGTCGCAGTGGCTTTGTCAATCACGATGCGGCGGCGCTTGTTTGGTCATCAGCCACGGAGCTGGCGGCTCTTCTGTCGAAGGGTGCGGTCAGCTCAAGAGCTCTGACTGAGGCGTACATCTCACGAATACAGGCTTTGGACGGCCCAGTAAACGCCGTGGTGGTGCGCTGCTTTGATGCTGCTCGGGAGCGCGCTGCAGAAGCTGATGCGGCATTGGCTAGGGGCCGTGTATGGGGGCCGCTCCATGGTGTTCCCATCACTGTGAAGGAGAACAATGACGTCAAGGGGCTGCCCACTACGCTGGGGAATCTTGCAAAAATAAACAATATCGCGGCGTCGAACTCGTTGGTGGTGCAACGACTGCTGGATGCTGGCGCGGTGCTCTTGGGCAAGACCAACTTGGCGCTGGACTTGAACGATGTGCAGTCATACAATGACGTGTACGGACGCACGTGCAATCCTCATGACATCAGCCGCACGCCAGGTGGTAGCAGCGGAGGCTCAGCGGCAGCACTGGCTGCAGGCTTCACAGCTCTGGAGCTCGGCGGTGACATCGGCGGTTCCATCCGCACGCCAGCCCACTGCTGCGGCATTTTTGGCCATAAGGCCACACTGGGTGCAATTCCAGTAACAGACCGACCATCGCGTCAGGCAGATATTGTGGTCAAGGGACCTTTGGCACGCTCTGCAGAAGATCTAGAGCTTAGCATGCGTCTCCTAGCCAGGGCAGCTGGTCCTGCTGCACGTGCTTGGAGTTTAACCCTTCCCGAAAGCGAGTCGACGAAATTGTCTCATTTCCGCGTGGCCGTGTGGGGAGACGACCCAGTTTGCCCAGTGGACAGCCACGTGCGAGCAGCTATAAAGCGTGTAGTGCTTTGCTTGAGACAGGCGGGTTGCGAGGTTGACGAGGCTGCACGGCCGGATGTCGATAGTGTCAGGGCCTTTCGAGTGTACAAGCAGCTGCTGGCATCTGCCGAAAACGCTGGCATCCCTGACGTGGAGTTGCAGAGACTCGTATCCAAAAGCAAAGGCACCGTGCTGGAAGAGCAGACTGGCTGGATCGCTCAGACTTATAACCGCTGGCATGATGCTGATGCTGAGCGACAGGTGATGCGAGCTGCATGGGAAGAGTTCTTCACGTCATTTGATGTCTTAGTTTGTCCAATTTGTTGTTCGATTGCGTGGCCCCATGACCACTCTGGCGAAACAGATCAGCCATTCTGGAAAATCGGGGAGCGTGTCATCCATGGCGCCGAAGGCCATACGACGCCATACCATGACCAAGTCTTTTGGAGCGGCCTGACGAACATATGCGGCAATCCCAGTACTGTCTTCCCAGCTGGCTTTTTTACGTCCAACAATGGCACCAGACTTCCAGTTGGCTTACAGATAGTCGGCCCGGAATGGGGAGATCTCACCACCATCGCATTTGCAAAGGCACTAGAAGTGGAGGCTGGCTTTAAGTTCGAGGCGTGTCACGATTTCCGGTCGATGCTGTAAGCATTTGTTCCTGAATGGTTATGCATTATTTCTTGAACGTGCGTGGCAACGCGATCAATCACATCTTCGGCGCCACGTCTATGGTAAGCACAATTCACCAGATTCGCCTTTGTAATCTGTATTGTTTTTTTCCAGCATGTTCGCCACCTGTTTCTCAACAGTCCTCGATGCTGAGTCTCTGCCTGGAGCAGGACGCATTGCTTCTCAGGGAGAGATCAGACGCCTTTCCTTAAACAGCGCATGCAGTAAGAGACTTAGATTGCTTGAACCGAGCACGTGCCTATCTTGCAGAATACGAGCAATGTGCCGCCGACCTGCCGTGCTGTGGCCGTGTGCGCGTGCAAATGCATTGGGCGGCGGAGAATGTGCAGTGCCGTGCCTTCGAGATTCCAGGAGAGAGCCCCCCGAATCGGTCCGGGCGTGAATGGTGCCTCCTGTCGAGAGGCTTCCGCCGCTTGCCAGGGTGCTCTGTGGCATCCAGCGCGCCGTTCGAGCTGCCAGGAGAGAGTCCCCCCGATCGGTGTGCTCGATTTATTGCTTGGGATGGGGCCCTCCCGTGCAATGGGAACAGGGCAACCCTAGGCCGTCCTCGGGCCCCTCGGGGCGCCGCCAGCTAGCCGCCGCCCTGCAGAGCAGCTCCCCCCTCCGTCCCCTGGGCCCCTCGTCCCTCGAAGAGCGCGCCCAAGGGTCCAGCAGGTGAAGGGTCGAGTAGGTGATCCACTGCAGACTTGAGTTACCCCTGGAAGTGGTTCCTCGTCGGATATTCAACAATACGTAGAATGCTTAGAATACGCTGTAGATCCACGGAGCATTCAACGTACTCGTCTCGGGGGGTATCCAGCTTCCTGCGGCAAGTCCCGCCCCCGTGCCAGCCCAGCATTCTGGGTGACGACTGCTCGAGTGTGCACCGGAGGCCGTTACGTGTGACACCTCGTGTTTTCAGGTTTGGGAGAGCCGTGATGAGTCTGATGAGGATGATGAGGATAAGTGGGTAATGACGATGGTAATCATGATGATGCTGATGATGATGATGATGATGATGATGGTGGTGGTGATGGTGATGGTGATGGTTATGGTGGTGGTGGTGATGGTGATGCTGATGATGGTGGTGGTGATGGAACTGATGATGGTGATGATGATTATGTTGTTGATGGTGGCGATGACGATGATGGCGATGATGGTTCTGCGGTTACTAATGATGTTGCTATTGATGGTGATGATGGTGGTGATGATGATGATGACCATGATCATGATGATGAGGAGGACGTTGATGTTGATGGTAATGATGATGAAGATGCTGTTGATGCTGCTGATGATGATGATGGTGATGACGATGGTGATGCTGATGATGATGACGAGGAGGGTTCTTACTATTATTATGTGTCTGGTGGTAGTGCTGATTGCGATGGTGGCAGTGATGGTGATAGAGATGATGATGACGATGATGGTGATGCTGATGGTGATAATGATGATGACGGTGATGCATATGTTGATGGTTATTCGGGTACTGATCATAATACGGATGATGATTACGACAATGATGATTGTGATGGTGATGGTGATGGTGATGATGATTGTGATTGTGATTGTGCGGGTGATGGTGTTGTTGATGGTGATGGTGATGATGATGATGGTGATCGTGATCGTGATGATGATGATGATGATGATGATGATGATGATGATGACGAGGTTGATGATGACGAGGTTGATGGTGCTGGTGGTGGTGATGATGACGGCAATCGTTGTCGTGGTGATGATGATATTGATGATAATGATGTTAGTGATGATGCTGATGATGATGATGCTGATACTGATGCCGCTGATGATGATGATTGTGGTGGTGATGGTGATAATAATGATGCTGGTGGTAATGATGACGATGCTGCTGATGATGTTGGCGGCGGTGGTGGGTGTGATGGTGGTGGTGGTGGTGATAATGAAGCTCGTGTGGGCCGTCTTGGGACTGCCTTGGCCTCCTGTGCGGCAGTCTTGGGGGTCCCTTGGGGCCCACTTGGGCTGTCTTGGGCCCTCTTACGCCTTCTTGGGGCTCTCTTGGGCCGTGTTGGGCCCTCTTGGCCGTGTTGTGGGTCTTTGTGGGCCGTCTTGGCGCCGTCGGAGGACCGTCGAAGGGCCTTCTCAGGCCGTCTTTTGTCACACGGGAGGCCCCCTTCCACTTATGACGGCAGCCCGGAAAGGCCAGAATGCGAGCATCATTCAAAAGCCCGAGGGGGTTCAATGATGTATGCTTCTTCTGACCCTGTTGGAGGTCCTTTTGTGGCCAGGTTGGGCCCTCTTGGAGGCATTTTGGGCCGTCTTGAATCAATATCGTCCGCCTTGCGACCATCTTGAGCCGTCTTCGAGGCATCTTTGGCCGTCTTGGTGTCATTGGTTGCCTGCGCGGGCCGTCCTGTACGCTCGGGATGCATACCATCATTTGAACGAGGGATCGTGACTTGGAAGGCCCTGGAGCGTTTGGGAGCAGCGCCTGGGAACACGGAACGTACACGATTCTCGAGCGAATGCGCGTGGGATGAAGGATCCAGGAGTTAGCAGCCATGCAGGACGTGCACAGTCCTCGAGCGGGCACGCGTGGAAGTCGGGTTTAGGCATTGGCTGCCATGCTGGACGTGCACCATCCGCGAGCTGGCACGAGGGAAGTGGCCTTGGTGAGGAGGGGGGATACACGCGGCAGTCTGCGAGTAGAAGGACTGGCCGTCCCGCATAAGAGTTCAAGAGTGCCAGACAGACCTTGGCCCCCCCCCCCACATCTGAATGAGCCAGGGGGCTCGTTGGCAGGCGTCAATTCTGCAGCCGATCTCCTTTTCGAAAGGGGAAAGGGCGTCCTGGGAGACGGCACAGGCCCATTCAGTTTGGTCAGACTTGTTATTGGTGGGCCGCCGCCGCCGCCTCTCTCCTCGTTCTCGTTCTGCTCTTGCTCCTCTTGCCTTGTACCAGGATATCAGAGCTCACCATTGAGACGGGCACCGGTCCATTTCGTCGTCGAGCGAGCGAGTCCTTGCACCGCGGTTCGCTCGGCGTGCGCGGCGTGGCGTGGTTGAACGCCGGTGCCATTGCGCCACTGCGCCGTTGAATCACCATACGTTGAGTGCGTCGCGACTTCAAGGCGGCGATACCATGTGCATTGATGATCAGGTTGCCTTGGATCCTTGGTCGGTGGTTCCACTCTGCGCCCTACAGCTATCGCGACATCCTTGCTCAACGTTCGGCTCGGGTCATGCCCCCCCAGATTCCTCGGGGGGCGGCGGCAAGGTCTGGTGGCGGGATCTTCCGCCATCGATTCATGTGTTGGGATCCCATGTTCTGTTTCACGGCTGGCCCCGGGCCGATCGGGCGTTGCGTTGCGCTGCGTGGATAAGCAATGCGAAAGACTTCCCCTCCGGAAGGGCGCCCAGTCGCACATTCGACCCCCACCCCAGATTTCAGCTTCAAGGGGGGGGAGGGAATGAGGGTTTTCGCAAAGGTGAGGGGTGGGTGTCTCAATTCAAGGGGGAGAGATTTGCACAAGTGCAGCGTGTACAGAAGTCGCTCTCTCCAGCATCACCGTTCTCGTCGTCACATCGTTACCAGCATGACCCTCGGCGCCATCACCATCACCGTAGCGCTTGTGGCTCGGGTGTTCTGTATCTCCAGCGGCCTTCCTTCATAGGACCGCCGCAATGACAGAGCGCAGCCGCGACGCGGCCCTCGCCGCTGTGGCGAGGTACACCGCCGCATTCGCGGACGATCGGGAATTCTCGCTCATCCCCACCTCGGAGCTCCGCGCGCAGCTCGACCCCGCCGGGGCCGGCAGGTCCCGGCCCGTGGTCCTCGTGGACTGTCGGGAGCAGGCGTCGGGGGCAACGTCAGTGGGGGGACAGGCTCAGGGGGGATCCGGCCAAAGTGGGCCCGCGGGGCCCTGCCCCCCCCCCCCCCCAGGCTGTCAGGGGCAACGACAGGGGAGCTCCTCCTCTTCCTTCTCCTCCTCCTCCCCTCCTCCTCCTCCTCCTCCTCCTCCTCCTCCTCCTCCTCCTCCTCTCCCCTCCCTCCTCCTCCTCCTCCTCCTCCTCCTCCTCCCCCTCCTCCTCCCCCCCTCCTCCTCCTCCTCCTCCTCCTCCTCCTCCTCCTCCTCCTCCTCCGCAGTGTCGTGGCAGCTGGAGCAGCACGCTGCCGCCAGCGGCCCGACCGCCCGCCCCGCCCAGAGCCGCGCGGAGGCACCCCTGGGGGCCTGTCGCCGACCGCTCGCGGATGCCAGGCCGATGCTTCCCCCCCGGGCGCCGGCCTCTCCCCCCCCGGTCGTCGCCCCTCGAGGATCGGGGGCGGCAAAGGGGGGGGGTGATGACTAGGGTGGGGTGGATATCATGGCGGGGGCCATGATATTTCCCCAGATTTCATGGCGCCTCTTCGTATTTCATTACGTCCCTGGCCCCCCCGCTGGGCCGCGCACATGCCGCCGGTCATGATTTGTACCCCCCCTCTTGGACACCCCCTCTTGGCCGCTCCCGAGAGGAGGAGCAGCGGACCTCCATGATCCCGGGCGCGATCACGCAGGCCTTCTTCGAGGAGGCCGTGCTCCCGAAGCTGTGCGCGCAGAAGCGTGGCGGGAGCGCCAGTGACGACGAGGAGCCCCTCGTCGTGCCGTACTGCACCGTGGGCTATCGCTCGGGGCTGTACTGCCGCGACCTGGTGCGGGTGCACGGTCTGCGGCACGTGCGCAACGGCGAGGGCGTCATCATGTGGACCTTCGACGGGGACGGCTTTCGGGGGAGGCGTCGGTAGCACTTTCTGGGAGCCACGTCTGCCCTCGCAATTCTGTCTTTTAGAGTGCCTGGTAATGGATGAGTTGTTGCGCCGGAGCAGCGTCGATGTGGCCTCGATTTAGCGTCGAGTAGAGTCGATCGGCGTCGATGCGCAAGAGCCAGGAAGATGGCACGGGAGGCTCCCGTGAGTCGCCACCGAGCCAGGCAAAGGCACCGATGCCGCTGCTCGTCCTGGAGAGCTCTCGTCGCCACGGCCGGATACCCCCTCGAGATCCCGTCGGAGTGCACCCACGGAGAGGGTCCGTGGAGCAGCGGTGCGGGCACCCCTCTGTCCCCCCAGGCTTGGTGAGGCCGTTCCCCGGCGACGTGCCGCGGCGAGCCCCGACGCTCTCGGGGCGTGCCAGGCAGGCGCCGCCGCTGCCAGGGGCCGTGGCGGAGCACGGCGCAGCGGGCGACGAGGTGCAGCCGGAAGTTGTTCAGGAGGTGCACGTCTACGGCAAGCGCTGGGACATGGCCGCGGAGGGCTACGAGACGCAGTACTTCACGGCGGGAGGCGGGGCGTCGCGCTTCCTCGTCGGCGAGCTGCGGCGGCGAAGGCTTCCTGACAGGGTCGCGCGAGCTGCGCCCTGGATGTGGGCCTTTGCGATGCTCTATTTCTTCTTCGTTCCTGCGTGCGGGATCATGTTCGACTGCGGCTGCCAGTTCGCGGACACGAAGTGGAGTCAGTTCAAGACTTGTAATGTCAGGAACCGTAAAGCATTACACAAATGCCCCTGGTGCACTTGCGAAGGCATTGGATGCATCTTCGTTGCGAGCGACATGAATGCCTTCTTTGACAAACCAATCGTAGACGCGCTACCAAACGGCTTCTTCGTTACTGTGTTCACTGTCATGGCCCTCTACCCCACATTCAAGCTGGTGGACCGGACCATCACGAACACAAGCGAGCTGCCTGGGGCAATGATGTCCACGATGGTAAAGTTGCTCCTTGGCACACTGTGGTTTTTCTCGTACTGCCTTGTCGTAGGCTTAGTGTTTTTCAATTCCCATTCGGATTACCCTTATTTCATAGGATTCGTGCGAGAAGCGACCGCGGCAGCAGGTTCCTGAGAGGACAGCACCAGATGTGCGCTGGCGTTGCTTGAGCTTCTTGTTCACGTTTCACTTGCTTCGATTCTTGACACTTGGCGTATCCCCTATCAGCCCATTCAGCAACGTTGCCCAAGCGAATCGCCTTGATCAGGTAACGGGGGCAGCATACAGTGGAACAAAGAGCTGGGAAGCCGTCAAACCGAAGTTTGGGATCAGCCAGAGCAGGACTAGGAGTGAATTACATGTGCCTTGGCGGACCTGTTGAACGAGGAAAGCAGAAGGAGAAGGATGAGGAGACAGGAGCAGGAGGAAGAGGAGGAGGAGGAGATAGGACCATGGAGGAGTGGGAGGAGCAAGACGAGGAGCGGAAGGAGGAAGACTGATTGAACACGTTCGTGCTTAATTTCTAACCCCGCTTTTGAGGAGGAGGAAGAGAAGGAGGAGGAGGAGCGGGAGAATGAAGAAGAGGGTGATGAGGAGGAGGACCATAGGCTGGCCGAGTCGTGCAACCGTCGGACGGGATCACGGGCCAACTTATGGAAGAGAAGGCGATGGTGGCGATGACGACGACGACGACGATTCAAACGTCAATGCATTTGCGTCCCCGTGCTCTGGGAGCCTTCTGAAGGCCTCTTGGAGCCAAGGTCATTGTTGGAGCTTCCGGATCCCTCTTGGAGACGTCTTGGGGCATTCTTGAAGGCCCCAAGGGACCGGGAGCCGTCTCTTGGAGCCCTCTGGGGGCGTTCTGGTCCCGATGGTTGTTCTGCGGTTATGTGCTTGTTGTCCGGTGATTGTCCCGCTGTTCGTCCCGTGGTCGTCCCGATTGTTGTCCCGTTGTTGTCCCGCGGTTGTTTTTTGGTTGTCCCGCGGTTGCCCCGTGCTTGTCACGTGGTTGTCCTGTGGTCGTTTTGACACTGTCTTTGGGTTGCCCCTTGCACGTCCCGTGGTTGTCGCGTGATTGTCCCGTGGCTGTCCAGTGGTTGTCCCGTGGTTATCCCGTGGACGACTTGCGCCTGTTCCGTTTGTGAAACCGAAATGCAGTAAGATCGGTGTCCCGTGGATGTCCGGCGGTTGTCCCGTGGTTGTCCCGCGGTTGTCCCGCGGTTGTCTCGTGGTTGTCCCGTGGTTGTCCTGTGGTTGTCTTGCGGTTGTTCCGTGGGTGTTCCGTGAGCGTTCCGTGGTTGTTTGTGGTCGATTCGTGATTGTCCAGTGGTTGATCCGTGGTTGTCCCTTGGTTGTCCCGTCAATGAAAAGAGAAGTCGTTAGACCGATAGTTCCGTAGTGTGGCATGTATTTACATGCATTTATATATAGACTTATGGATGGTAAGATCGGGCGACATGTAATGATACCGTCAGATAGTGATACATTTGATTTTCCGATTGTGGGATCACTCGGTCTACAGTGAAAGTCTCGATCGGGTTACATCGACCTACGAGGCGAAGAACCAAGTACATGTCTCCAATATGGCAGTGAGACATGCTTCACGGCGCAGAACGTCTACTAGTTGTCAAGCCATTGCATCGGGAGTGTTATGACAGAAGCCCGCAAGTTCGCTGCCGATGGTCACTGATACAGTGTGTTCTTCCTTTGGGCTGGTCTTAGGCCCTTTTCGCCCCGCACGCTGCAAGCCTTGCCGCCTCGTCGGCGGCGGCATCGGCAGCCCTGTGCCTGGTGTGTGCCGATGTGCGCGCAGCTCGAGGCATGTGATGGAGCGCCCAGCTGTGCATCGCTCGCCGCAAACAAGACAAAGAACATCTGTCTATATACATAGATGCATAAATAGAAATGACGCCCTATGGTAGGAGGTCCTGTGTCACCACCGTTTTCACTGATGATACATCGGCCTTGCAACAACTGTTGCACGCAATCGGATAACAGGGCGACGTGTACGGCATGGTACTGAACAAACATTATGGGCGACGCGTTGTGCGCAGGCTTGTTTTGTTTTTTGTTTGACAAATGGACCGCAACTGCCTCTGCACAGTCATGCTAAGAATTTAGACTGCACGTTGAACGACAAAGAGGTCCCTATCAGAGAGCTGAGCAAGCGGATTTCCGATTGTTCTGTGGTTTGTCACAAAATTCGAGAGTGTTGGAAGCATATTGATTGTTGCAGCGTAAGCCTCAAGTTGAAGGTGTGCGACGCCTTTGTTAGCTCTGCATTTCATTTACGGACTAGAATCTGTGCAAGTCAACGGTGGTCTTGAAAAAGGAAGTGGACGCGTGCCAGCCGAAAGGCCTGAGGCAAATTCTACAGCTTCAAATGAAAGATGGCAACAGGGGCACACGCGAATGAGTACGTCTTTCGTTTTGCCAACGAAGCAGTCAACAGTTGGGGAGACGGAGCGAGGGCCAATGACCAGGGATTCCGGCCGAGCCTCGGGGCGACACGTCCTCCTGGATCCCCCCCCTTCTTTGAGCTCCCCTCCGGGGCCTCCCAGGTCCCCCCTTGGCTGCCCAGGGAGCACGGCTCAGCGACAAGAGCGGCGCAACAGGGCCCAAGACGCCCCGAAATGGCCTCAAGATGGTCGAGCCCCCGAGAAGCCCCCAAGATGGCCCAAGGAGGCCCCATGCCGCCTCTCAAGAAGGCCCCAGATGGCCAACCTTGCCCCAATTCATTGAGAGAGCGTGCGTTTTCACCATATTTCGCCTGCTCGGTCTTAACAGCGTCCAAAAGACGGCCCACGAGGCACCAAGATCGCCCCAGGTCGGCCCACAAGGCCCCAGAGAGAGGCCCAAGAAAGGCCACCCAGAGGCGGCCCAAGAGAGCTTCAAGACGGTCCACGAGGCGCCCAAGACTGCCCAAGAAGGTCCCCATGAGCAGGATCTCCAGCTGACACTGCGAGCCCTCCGCCACACGTGGGCCCCTGAGGCGGCTAGTAGGCCCACAAGAGGCCCCCAAGGGTCCCTGAAGAGGCCCGAGATCTCCAAACGGCTCCCGAGAGGCCCCAACAAGCTTCAAGTCTCGCTCCACGAGGCGCCCGAGAAGCATGCCAAGAGACCCCTAATCGCAGGCACTGGCGACGGACCTCCCTACGCAGGACGCAGGTCTCTCTTCATTTACTGCGCGTGCGGGGCAATGCTGCGAAAAACGGGCTGCTGCGGAGCACGCGGGCACGGGCGCGCTGAACTCTTTGTGGGGCACGTTCGGCGTGAAGGGTGTGCCGAATGATCCGGATGCCCCCCAGCGAATATGCCCACTGAGGCCGCAGGTGAGCGTCTGTTGGCATGACCCGTGCGAGACATGTTCCGAAATGGGCCGGGGGACGCCACGCGATGTTGCCGAGTGGTGCCGTAGGTGGAGCTCCTCCTGGGGCATGATTCTCGTGACGGGTGTGCCGACATGGGCGGGGGGGCGTTGTACGAACCTTGTCATTGGGCCTGTTAGGTGGTTCTCCGTGTGGGACGATCCGCGTGATGGGGTGTGCCGCAATGATTCACAATGCGAACCCTCTGGAGCTGTAGGTGGAGATCCCTGTGGGTCACGATCCACGTGAGAGGTGTGCCGAATTTGGTGGGGGGATGGGATGCGAATCTTGTCTGTGGGGCCGTTCGTGGAACTCCCTGCGGGCCACGATCCGTGTGAGATGGGTGTCGAAGTGAACGGCGCGACGCTATGAAGTTTCCCTCTGGTGCCGCACTGTCACCTACTTGCAGGGGGCAATCCCTGTCAGGGGCGGGCCTCTATGCGAGCCTTGTCTTTGGGGAGGAAAAACCTCGATCCGGGAAAACGCGCAAAACCCGGGAAACGGTGGCACGAACCCGGCACCGCCGAAGGCCCGAACCCGAGTAACGGTGACCATGCGAACCCGAGAAATTGGAACTACGACCCAGGGAAACCCGACACACGCCGACCGGGGAAATTCAGACACGCATGTCGAGATGTTGAAGATATCCCTCTGCCCCTCCTCTTCATCAGCATCATCTTCGTTTCCGCCTACTTACGTGGTCACGTGACCATTGCAGTAGAATTGTATACTTCCGCTCCCAGGCATTGCCGCGTGGCGAGTGTAATTCCGTACCCATTTCGGGCGCTCAAGGCGTTGAAGTAAGGACTGCTGCCATGGGCTCTGGAGTGGCTAGGAGTGCCATGGGCTCTGGAGTGGCTCTGCTGATTCCCTCACGTCTCCCAGGAAGGTGCGGTTTCGCTATCGGGGGCCTATCGCCTTTCCACCGGCGAAGTGTCGCTAGTTCCAGGCCATCGTTGCCCCTCACTGAGGAGGAGGAGGAGGAGGAGGAGGAGGAGGAGGAGGAGGAGGAGGAGGAGGAGTAACGTTGGACAGGGCTGGGACGAGGATAAATCCGTTCCAGAGCGTTCTGGAACGCTCTCATAGCGTTCCGGAATGCTTTGGGAAGGCCGGGGTGCCCGAAATATCATCAAAAACCGCCGGACCTCAGAGATTCTGACTTTCTCCTCCCCCGAATTTCTCCTCGTCGTGGCTTCGTCTCAGAAGGGGATGGGGGAAGGAGAAGGAGGAGGAGGAGGAGGAGGAGGAGGAGGAGGAGGGAGGTCCACCCTGCGTGGACGTGCGGCGCGGGCAGGCAAGCCCGCGAGAGGTCGCCCGCTTCAGGCATCCCCCGCTGCCAAGGCGGCAGAACCGCTCGGTGGCGGCCCGCGAGAGCCGTCGCGAAAGGTGTTGCCGCGCCGTCCGTGGGAAGAACATCGTGGCCGGAGCAGTTGGTTCTTTCATATCGTTTGGCCCTCCTCCTCCTCTTCCTCCTCCTCTTCCTCCTCCTGCTCCTCCTCCTCCCCTTCCTCCTCCTCGTCCTCCTCCTCCTCCTCCTGCTCCTCCTCCTCCTCCCCCCTACTGGATAATTCCGCTAGCGGGCCCACCCCTCGTTCGCGCACCTGCCCTCGGCCAAGAGGCGGTGACATCCCTCCTCCTGGCACCCGCCCTCCGCGCACCTGGGCCGTTGTGGCCAAGATGTCTCGTACCGGGCAGGGAGATACAACATGTTGTGTGCAACTTGACGACGCAATTCTAGGCCTCCTGGATGGGGTCGTAGCAGGTGGG